TCCTTCTCCTCCTCCTTTTAACACAAGTGAACAAGTACTTGAGGGGGTCAGGATAACTGACTTGTTACCGGATTTGGCTTGGATACTGCTTATTTACTGAAGAATCATTGCCTATGAACTTGGAAATGTATTTAACTTCCATGATTTTAGTTAGCTGGCAGACCACTGACTGTATCAAAGCCTTAATTTTCTTTGCTGTTCTACTTTGAAGATTTTCCCTTCTTCCGTCACAGTCGCTTCTCCATTAACTTACTGGCCAACCTTTGCCACATTATCCAACATCTGATGTCTCTCCCAACTTCCTGCTGCAATCAATCACAGAGTTGACATTTCCATCCTGCCATATGCCATCCTAAATCCCACTGGGGTCTGTTTCTTCAACTTGCTCTTCTCAACCGGATTCAGGGATCTCACCCAGCAGATAAAATTCCTGTCATTGCTCTTCCTTTGTTGGTATAGATGAGGATAATTCTGCCCCCTTTTTTTTTTAAGATCCGAAGTGATATCTGGCTTGTACACAATTTTAAGGAGCGCTTGCTGTGAAGACCTTTCTCTTCTTCTTTAACCAATCTCCCAAGATGATGGTGAATCTTTTCAATAACTGCTTCTTATACGTCCCTGTTTTAAGGTGCCCTGAAGGTTAGATTCTTTGGTTTGCGTGGACTTGCAGGGGTGAGTAAAAACAATCCATACATTAGAACCATTTATTTTTTAAATTTAATTTATATGCCACCATTTGTCTGCAAATCACTGGGTGGTTTACAGCATAAAAATACAAAATGAAAACACAAAATACATACCTTAAAAGCAACAACAAAGTAATGCACAAACACATACAAAAGAACATTGCTTGTTTAATCAGCCAAAGGCCTTGTTATAGAGAAATGTTTTTGCCTGGTGTGTGAAGATATGTAATGAAGGTACCAGGTGAGCTTCCCTGGGGAGAGAATTCCACAAACAGGGAGCCACTGCAGAACAGGCCCGTTCTCATGCTGCCATCTTTGGAAGCTCTTGTGGAAGAGGCACATGAAGAAGGGGCTCAGATGATGATTGCAGGGTATGGGTTGGTTCATATGGGGAGAGGTGGTCCTTGAGGTATTGCGATCTTGAACTGTTTAAGGCTTTGCAGGTCAAAAACAGCACTTTGAATTGGACCTGGAAACTAATTGGCAGCCAGGGCTGTCAGGCCAGGATTGGTGTCCACAAAGCAGGTATACAACCGTGCTTCTTTTTCTTGCTAAAAGCAATGTCTTGTAGAGATGAGAGTAAAAGTGAAATAATAAAGCAGCAATTCAGCTCATTGGCATTTCAGCACATGAAGTCCATTACACTTTTAAAAATTGCAGAAAAAAGAAGTAAGAAATAAATAAAAAGATGGAAAAAAACACGTATCAACTCTAAACGTACACACACACTTTCCTTAACATGCAGGTATTCTTGAATAACAGAAGTCTTTCATTGCAAAGAGGCTAAAACAGTAGCAGGATTCTAAATACACTTGTAATAGAAAGTACAGTTTACTTAGGAAGATGAAAAATTGGAGAAGTATTGATATGCAGTTGAAAATAGAATTAAGAGGACCCATGGATGGGATGGGGGGGGGAGTCAGGAGATGGAGAGCAATCTCAATACAGTGGTACCTCGGGTTACAGACGCTTCAGGTTACAGACTCCATTAACCCAGAAATAGTACCTCGGGTTAAGAACTTTGCTTCAGGATGAGAACAGAAATTGCGTGGTGGCGGCGCGGCAGCAGCAGGAGGCCCCATTAGCTAAAGTGGTACCTCAGGTTAAGAACAGTTTCAGGTTAAGAACAGACCTCCAGAACGAATTAAGTTCTTAACCCGAGGTACCACTGTATGTGGATTTTGTATGATCTTTTGATGTAAGCTTATTCTTTTCCTTTCTTTCTGTTTCTCTTCTTCCTTTCTTTTCTCTGTTTTGGAAAATCAAATAAAAATGATAATAAAATAAAAAAAAAGAATAATAGAAGCCTTAATAATTTTCCTCTACACTTTTTTTTTTTTTTTTGCATTTTTGGAAATAAGCATCAGATTAGCTACTAAAACAATTTTGGCCCAGTTTATTATTTAATGAATGCAACACTATATCTTATTCCCCCAGGGCACTCTGGCATTTATGGTGCTATTTATCTCGTTGTGCTGTAAGGACTTACGGAAGTGCAATGAAGCACAGAAATCTTTGTCTTGTTCATAAGCCTCAATCCAGGGTGGTGTCACTCCACAGGCAGGGGTTGATGGAGATGAACAGGGCAGGCAGAAGGAAAGCTTCACCAGGTCAACAAAACCCTCCACCACTGCCCAACACAATAGAGGGAGAGACTGGATTGCTCCACAGGCATCTGAGCCATGAATCAAAACCTCCTAAATTTGACTGTCTCCTTATACATGGCCTTACATATTCTCTCTCTCTCAGTTTCAAGACTCCCATCTGCAATATGGGGCATAATGACTTGCCTCGCAAGGGTTGTTGTTGTTGTTGTTGTTGTTGTTGTTGTTGTTGTTGTTAATATTACAACTGGATAATGCATGTGAAGCCATTTGAACACTTGAAAGCATGGTACAAATGTTAATTTTTTTAAAAAACAACAACCACCCACCATCTTAAGCTCTGCAAGAGTTAGATATATTAGGTGGAAAATATATCCTCTGATACATGTTAATATTCATTGTTTTCAATTTTATGAGGAGCAGAACAGCTGGATATTTTAGCTTCAAATTTAGTACATATTTTGGCAAGGTCAACCTGAAGGCTGTGGCTTTTTCTCCTGGGCTTGCTCACAATAATTACCTCATTTATAAAACTGTCTTCCCCTAAAGCTCAGCAAAAGAACAGAGTAGAAATAAAACCTGCCTTTCTTCTGTGCGTGTGGTTCCACTTTTCTTTACAACACCACCCGATAAAGGATGGGGGAGGAATTCGGTTCAGTTCCCTTTTAAAGGTGAACCCAAACAGAAACACGACACTCAAATTTCACAGTCCTCCAAATATTGTAGCGCAGTTCTCCAGCCAAGTCATATGCACAAAAATGCATGTATTTGGGTAGAGTGTGCATAAGAGTACAGGATCAGGTTTAAGGTGCTGGTTTTAACCTTTAAAGCCCTATACGGCCTAGGACCCTCGTACCTACGGGACCGCCTCTCCTGGTATGCCCCACAGAGGAACCTACGGTCTGCAAATAAAAACATCCTGAAGGTCCCAGGCCTCAGAGAGGTTAGGCTGGCCTCAACTAGAGCCAGGGCTTTCTCGGCTGCGGCTCCAATCTGGTGGAACGCTCTGTCACAAGAGACTAGGGCCCTGCGGGACCTGACATCTTTCCGCAAGGCCTGCAAGACAGAGTTGTTCCACCAGGCCTTTGGTCAGGGCCCAGCCTGACTCCCACCTCCGGCAACCTACACAGAACTTTGCTCAACGGTTGCCATTAATTTGATTTTAATTAATTTTTATAATGAAATGTTTTAGAATGTTGGACTATTTAATTGTTTGATTATTTATTTGTTGTTAGCCGCCCTGAGCCTGGCTTTGGCTGGGGAGGGCGGGATATAAATAAAATTTATTATTATTATTATTATTATTATTAAGAATGAATACAAAATTGCAACAACTTGAAAAATAACATAACAAAAAATAACATAGAAAAATGCTTTATAATCAGGAAATGTGTAGGTAATGCAAAATTTAGTACAAAAATGGGCATGTTAGGAGATGCATCTGAAGGTGCGTCTCCAGCCCCAAGCACTGAGGGCCTTCTGGCGGTTCCCTCACTGTGAGAAGCAAAGTTACAGGGAACCAGGCAGAGGGCCTTCTTGGTAGTGGCGCCTGCCCTGTGGAACACCCTCCCATCAGATGTCAATGAAACAAACAACTATATGACATTTAGAAGACATCTGAAGGCATCCCTGTTTTTAATGACTGATGTTTTAATGTATTTTTAATCTTCTGTTGGAAGCCGCCCAGAGTGGCTGGGCAAACCCAGTTGGTGTTTCGCAACTTTGACCTGTTGCAGGACCTTAGCCAGACCTTAGCAGAACATACACAGAGTTCCAGATAGCAACCAGTTGCAGGCAGGATGTACGAAGCAGGAACCAGACGCTACTACTAGTAACTTGGTAGTGGTGAGAAGGAAATCTCTAGTACTGACCATCTGAGCTGTTTTTAGCTGCTGTTGGCTGAAATACTCAGATCCTGGAAAAGGAACAGGGGAGACAAAAGTGTCTGAAGGAGGGATAGAAGAAGCCGTGGCCTTTGAAAGGAAAATGCAGGAACCAGAGAAGGCAGCAGGCCAAGAAAAGTGCGGCCACTGTAGAACTGATGTCTGGAAAGGAGAGTGGTCCAGAGAAGAGAGAAGAGGAGAGAACCATTGAAAAAAGGTACCAGTAGATGCAAAGATGAGGTGTCATAGATTGATTGGAATGGAATAGCCAGCTAGATGTGTGAATGCAAGCCCCTAAACCTCATGAAAGGCGCAATTTGTGTTGGTAAAGACAATGACATTTTATCATATCGCCTGATAAATTGATATAATAATAAAAAAGAGAAAACAAGCTCAAGGAGCATTATTGGGTACACAGTCTTTTTCCACATCTGTTTTGTTACAATAACCTCCATGGCCATATCTATTTATTTTATTTTATTTTTTGAAGGAAAGAGAACTGGCCCTTTAGTACCTCAGTTGTGCAATGGAGAAAACACACAGTTATGTTTTTTACAGTATGAGGGGAAATAAATCTCTGGCATAAGATGGGATTCAAAATGAAAGTTTCCATATGTCGGGAAGGGAAAATGATGTTTGACAAACACACACACACACCCAAGTAGTGTAATGTTTCCCCACCCTCCTTTTGAGCTATATAAAGTTCCTGCCGTTTCTGGTATGCATCCTCCAAACTGTCCAATTTGGAACTGAGCAGGGGAATTCTCTCTAGGCTTCCAGGCAGAATTTCATTATTATTTGAATGTTCCGTTTCCCTTGCCTAAGCCATGCAGCCAGCGGAGGAGACACAATTCATCACCGGCCCTTTGAAGCAGACCACAGCAAACGTTCTTTCGGTGAAACAGCCGCTGATGGGCATTCATACTGTGAACAACGCTGTAGTGGTTTTGGCGGCGGCAGGAGATTTTAAAGATGACTGGAACATCTCGCTCAGCTGTCGATAGCCAAAGTGCATCACAGGGAAACTTAAGACTTGCAGGTGAGAGAAGGAGGAGGAGGAGGAGGAGGAGGAGGAGGAGGAGGAGGAGGAAAGGATTAGGGTCACTCAGGTTTGAGGATGGTTCACATCCTGTAGTACTGAGAATAACTTAACAATGAAACCCAAAAGACAATTGTTGACTCCTTTTCCATTTTGGATGTCATTTCAGGTTTCAATAGTCTAGGGTCAAATTTGCAGCAAAGCTCAAAGGCCTCCTCTTGGAGGTGTTCAAGAGGAAGTAGGCAAAATACAATGTATTTCAAATGTGTTTGTTGTAGTTATTGGGAGGAGGGCTTACCACCTAGCGTGAACACTGACACATCATCTCAAACAGAGGAAATAGAGGACTGTCAGGGACTGGACTGATGGGGGCTTCCTCCCTTCTCCTGAACCTTCCCAAGGACAGCATAGATTTAGAACAGTGGTTTGCAGAAGGGCATAGGTCAGAGGCTGCAGAGGAGAGAAGCTGGGAAATACTGGAAGAAGAACAGCAGGAAGAGGAAACACCAGGGGAGAGACAGCTGGCAGACTGTCTTTGGAAAGCATTCCTGACCCCACCCCCTCTCCTAAGACTAAGCATTAAAGGTAAAGGGACCTCTGACCATTAGGTCCAGTCGTGACCGACTCTGGGGTTGCGGTGCTCATCTTGCTTTATTGGTCGAGGGATCCAGCGTACAGCTTCCAGGTCATGTGGCCAGCATGACTAAGCCACTTCTGGCGAATCAGAGCAGCGCACGGAAACACCGTTTACCTTCCCGCCGGAGCGGTACCTATTTATCTACTTGCACTTTGACGTGCTTTCGAACTGCTAGGTTGGCAGGAGCAGGGACTGAGCAACGGGAGCTCACCCCATTGCGGGGATTCGAACCGCCAACCTTCTGATCGGCAAGTCCTATGCTCTGTGGTTTAACCCACAGCGCCACCCGCAGAAAGCTCAGATTAGCCAACATAGGGGTGATGTGAGGGAGTGGGACTTTACTTGGAGCAACACCATTTCTAGAGAGAGAGAGAGACATTCCTTTGTCTCTCGCTGTGATTATTGAATAAACTAACTGGTAAGAACTTTTCTTTTATCTGCTTCTTTGCTGCCACCAGGGGAGGGATCTGATTCCCTGGAGCCTGACAAGGACAAATAGATGACACCACTTTCCCTACAGTGAAACCACTGGTGGCATGTCACCCCTGACTGTTTCTGCCTCTGCCATACTACTGGCTCATTCATAAACACACATACCAAAATGTACATAGGTTGTTCTAGGGGTTGGTGAGCTGGTGACTGAGTCTTGGCTTGTGGCCGGGAACTGGCACTTCTCCTTCTATTAACTTTGGACAGATCCATACCACACATCCAAAGCACATTGAAAGCACTTGACTTTCCCCAAAGAATCCCAGGAACTGTAGTCTCCCTCTCACAGAGCTATAGTTCTCTGCATCCTTAACCAACTATAGGGCCCAGGACTCTATGAAGAACCTCACATGCTTTATATGTGTGTTGGATGTGCTTTAAATATATGGTGTGGGTCAACAATGCCAGCGAAGTACACACAGAAACATGATTATCCCACTACATCTTTGCTTCCATTATACAGTACAGTGGTACCTCAGGTTAAGAACTTAATTTGTTCTGGAGGTCTGTTCTTAACCTGAAACTGTTCTTAACCTGAAGCACCACTTTAGCTAATGGGGCCTCCTGCTGCCGCTGCAATGCCATAGCAAGTTCTTAACCCAAGGTAATATTTCTGGGTTAGCAGAGTCTGTAACCTGAAGCGTATGTAACCCGAGGTACCACTGTATCTCAGAACAGATTATTGCAGGGATTTGTTTTTCCAGAAATTGCAAGGAATAGCAATAAAGCAAAATATGTATGAAATAGATTCACATAAACCAGGGGGAAAGGATGCCTCGGGGACAAATCTAGCCTGTAGACTTCATTTGTTGAAAATGAGATATACATCCCCCCCCCATTCAATCACAAATACCCAGTGGGTGGGTTGGTTCCCTATTATCCCTATTGTACAGATGGAAAAACTGAACCTGGAAGAGAGTGGGGAGACTTTGCTTGAGGCCATCCATGAGTCCATTGCTCTATTGGGTTTTAAAACCAGTATTCACAGATCACCAATGACTCTTGGCATAAAATCTATTGCCTTTAATTGTTATTCCCACACTAAGCTTATTGGCATCTCACTTTTGCACGTCCTCTAGTTTGTTTGTAGCTGTTTTCTTTTTCCTTCAGTGAGTTAACTATAAATTGCAAGGGGGAATTAATTCAGTTACAGCTATAACAACAGGCTATTTGTACTTATGCTTGGTTTGTTTCCCATATAGTTGTACAGATTTTTCAAAAACAAGTTTAATTCGTCCAAGCAGTAATCTGTGGTGCAGAGCAATGATAGAATAGGGTAAAATTATAATTTAAATATTTGAATGCTCTTTCTTTCTTTCAACAGTACCAGAGCCTATAATGTATGGAAATCTGCACGCATTTGCATTGCAAATGAGACTGGGAAACTGCCTGTGTTTAAACCACTGGTGAAAGCTACTTTTTGGCATTTTCTAGTAATGTCTTGCTGTCTGCAGCCATGCAAAAATCTAATCAAATCCAGATTTGTTTAGTCTCTTGGCACTGTGCCTCGGTTTCCCTTGAGGGAGAGGGGTTGATTAGCACTTCTTCTTTCTTCCCTCCCTATTCTATTTCTCTCAAGTAAGGCTGCCAGACCTTCTCCAAACGTGGCAATACTCATGCAATTAATAGTTGGATGTTAACAGAAATAGTAGCTGTGAGCATAGACCATGGTGGGTGGGGCAAGAAGGGATTTTATGCTGCCATTGCCCTGCTCTGAATCAGCCCACACACAACTGCTGTTCGCACTAAGGAGAAAGTGAAGATTATCATTTTGTTATTATTGCCACCATTTTAATTATTGTATATTGTTTTGTTTTATGTTGTTAACAGTCCTGGGCACCCTTTGGGGAGGAAGTGAAATATATAAATCATGGATGGATGGACAGACAGACGGGCAAAAATCCCTTATCTCCCCTCACCCTCCCTTAAGTGTTATATAAACAAGACAGCGAATAACAGAGGGAGGCAGAAGGAAGTTAAACCTGAACCTGGCAAGGGTTTGAGTTTCCCACAAAAGCTTGAACACCTGCAAATCATCAAAGCCACCACACTCCCCATGCTGATTGCATGGAGATAATTTACTGCAGATTGTTTGCTTCAAGTGTATCCCCCGGGAGTAGAACATTTTTTAAAGTCAGGGAAATGTCCCCTCAACAAGCATGTTAATGCAGCTCAAGTGGTGTGCTACTGAGTGATGTATGTATTCTTGTCAAGGGCATTGCTCTCCTTGCTTCACTGTCAGTTGCGGCTGAGGAGGAATGTATGGATGTGTCAATTTTGGTTTCTCATTTATTTTCAGTCATCTATCCAGTGGTCAAGAAGGCAGATTCTGCATGTGCTGTAGGGGGAAGTGAGGAGCAGAAGGAACTTGTCAACCTGGGAAGGTCGCCCATCTAGGAGAAGGAAAACTCTGGTCATAAACCTCTGCTGCCTTGTGGGATGTCTTCAGGAGAAGGAAAGGCTAGGGAGTAAACACTGAACAAATCCAGAGTGGAGTCCCTAAGACAGTTGGATGGCACCTTGTACGCCTCCTTCCAGCAACTCCTGCAGCCAAGCTGGTGCCAAATGTATTGCTCTGCTTTCCTTTAGACCACATCAGTGAGGCCATGGGTGGAGGGATGTCATCTGAGCATCCCAGGACCTCCATACACACTGCCCTGGCTTGTGCCCCAGGGAGATCACTTCTCCCCAGAGGAGCCCAGAAGTGCCCTCCATTCTCCCTTGAGACAGATGAACGCCAACAACAACAGATAACCAGTATGATCCAGGAGTACTGCAAGCCGCTCCATCATTCTCTGCATCACTTTCCCAAGAAAAAGAGTGTTATCCATGAGACAGTAGTTATTGCACAGCTCTTGGTCCCTGGTATGACTCTTGAAGTGTGGGCACAGCATTGCCTCTTTAAGGGTGGCAGATACTGCCCATCCAACAATGAAGCTTTCACAACAACTTGGACCTCTCCGCCAACCTACTGCAGGTAGCTTTAATAAGCATTCAGTTTTCAGGCACCTGGATGACTGATTCAAATACCACCTTGCTCCTTCTGAATTTCAACACGTAAGCATAGAATTAATGGAAATAGTTCACATAAAGCACCTTCCATTATTATGAAGGCGGAGCAAAACTAAAGAAAACTGGGGCATAATGAGCATGTAATTGCTATATCAAGTTACAAAGGAGAATATAAAACATTCCATTTAGAGTCAGTTTCATAACACTTGCAATTATGTCGATATCTGCCACTTTGAAAGTTGAGGGTGTGTCTCACAGACAATGCTTCTGTGTTGATGCTGTTTTAGGACACATAGGAAATCATATACCGTAGAGTGGAATTCAGCATTGTGTAAGCAGACATTCCCTTCCTCTCTTCCGCAATCCTCTGGAGCAGTTTTTGGGTGCATGCGGGACTGCAGGAGAATTGGGAGAGAGTGGAAGGTGTGTTGCACAAGTGCAACTATACATGGGCACTACTGAATTCAACCACAGTACTTACTCAGTGACTTGGGTTGTTGGTCACCGAAACACCATTTTCAGCCATGTTTGTTTACCATTCTTACTTTATTTTTCAGAACCATGTACCCAATTGATTTTTACAAAAACAAATAGTTCTCCATTAGACTAATATGAAATATCACTTTCTGCATTAGAACATTATCACAGTAGCTAGCAGTGGTAATGCAATAAAAAGTTGTATCATTCATGGTAACATTTTTATTAGACTAATATCATGCAATCTTTGAAACAAAAATGCTTAAAAATGATGCATTGCTTGTTCCTAATGTACTGATTAAAATCTTTGCAATATCTTTTAAAAAATGAAGCTCTTGGACAAGTATTTC